TATATATATATATATATATGAATTTCATGCAGGAGATTCGGCGCCACGGGTTGTGCCATTTATGAATTCAGTTCGGTAAAGTACAAATTGTGATGACACCATGATCGCAATACTTCGATCGGGGATCCTTTCTCGTCAGTCGTCTAAGGTCCGGTTCCGTTTGTCTGTAAAACCAGATGACCACCGGTTGTCTTAGGATGAGCGAGGAATTAAAGCGTTAGATAGCAAGAGATATTGAACCCAATGAAAAGGCAGGAACCAACGTACCTGTTCAATCCATATCAGGGTTAACTCTGGTAGATAGACCAGACTGGGTGATTCTGGTTGGCTTGGGGCCAGCTGATCCGACTCAAACACAGCGCCCTCAAGTTTGAGCTTGGCGATACGAATAGGGATATGCCCCTCAGACAATGTGGAGCTCTGGTTTGATTGTCCTGGCCACGCACAAACCAGCTTGAGTGTATCGATTGCCACACCAAGTTGTCGGGCTGTCTGCTGTCGCACAGCGTTCAGGAAGGTTGTTGGTCTGAAAAGATCGGCCAAATCGATTGGCGGGGAGTTGGCCCGCAAAAATTGTTTCGTTTCAGCCAACTTCATCAGGTTCTGTGTATATGGAAGAAAATAAAGTGCTATATAGAATCGTACAAGTTTCACCGATTCAAGTTATGTGAATACACATTTGTTTAAGGAGGAAGAACCTCAAGTAGCAGTAAAGCCGTCGGAGTGCCCACCATGACTTCACATGGAAATGAGTTTCAGATATATTAACTGACGGGTCCCTCGTGAACGGGAAGGAGAAGTATCGTCTCCCACCCCTCTACAACTAGTATTAGTAACCAAGCTGACCGAGATAACATATGCTAGTTCTACAGCTAATCCTTCGAGGTTTTCGAAATGGGGACTTTATTGGAGCTAGAACGATGCGAACAGGAACAGCAAAAGAAGAGCGTTTTGAAGGAAAATGTTTGCCAAGGAAGTACTCAACATTTACACTCTGAAACTTTCATTTCTCTAGAAGTGTTGATACAAAAGTGTGCAGTCCGTCGCTCTCAGTGCGTGGTCACGCGCACTCCTCTGTCGCCTGGGGATGTAAATTATCAACTGGAATCACTGTATCTGAGTGAGTAGCTTGTAGTGAACGCGCGGCAGTTTCTGAGAAATATCTTTTCCATCATGACAAGGAGACAATCACAATTACCGAGAGTCCCGTGGGAAATGAGTCCTGTTTCGTCCTCTGTCTGGCTGGATTGCTTGGAATTTATGTGGTAAATGTGCGGTGTAATCCACAAAATGTCACTGTTCATCATCATCATTGTCAGCTGTAATAACCGCGTACTCGTCGTACAGTGGTTGCAGCTGCCGCAGTTTCGTTCACCGGTGATTTGGGGGAGGGGGCAGGTAGCTGCGCATTGCAGGCGCGAGCTGGTAAGTTGGTGCATAAGTCCAGCACTGTCGGTGGCTGTCACTGTTCACACAGTCTGAGAGGAGTCTTCGCTTCGACAAGTCCAAGTGCTTACAAAAGCACCGCTGTTTTCGAAAAAAAAATGGATGTAGCAGCCACTGGACGCTATGATTCATTGTTGAACCTTAATCAGAAGCAGAGATAGAGAGAGCCGCTAGTAGGTCGGGAAATTTTTTAGTCTTCCTGTTTTATTCTAAGTGACGTTTTTTGCTAAAATATGATGGTAAAAGTGTGTAATCCAGTGTGAGAAACTCCTGCATGGGTAGAGTTAGAAGCCTGAATATCTTGAGAAAAATATCAGGCGGAGTAGCTTATTAAAATATGACTATTACAAATTATCCGACTGACTATCCTTTGACACCTCACCTGAACTGCAATTGCCTTGGCAACAAGATCACGTAGAAATGAAACGGGATCTTCCGGGCCTTCAGGCCATTCAGCAAGCCATGAGTCTGGTGTCTCTCCGTGTAACAAGCTCTCTGCTAATTGACGAAGCGCTGTAGTTAGTAGTTGAGTTCCTCGGCAGGTACGCGACAATCCAGCAAGTCCAGCATGCACTGTGTGAACCAAGTGAAGCGCATTGTTAAGCTCCAGTCGTAGGAATTCAACTACCGGGCTTTCTTTACTAATACCACTCAGTGAAGATGTTTTCAATGTGGTTGACATTGCAGAGCGTAGTTTACTGGACTCTGGATTCGTTGATGCTGAACGCTGAATGCAAACACCGGAGTGAAAATAAATCATGATCGTGAATCTGCAACTGACTGTCAACTGTACTGACGACATAATCAGTAGTACATAACCACACATGTAATAACACTCGATTTTTACTGACTGTCAACTGTACTGACGACATAATCAGTAGTACATAACCACACATGATAATAACAATCGATTTTTTTGACTAAGTGAAGAAAAATAAAAGCCTAAGTAACTGGTTCTGGCCTAGGACAAAGAAAAACATCAGTGAGGGACCATTTATAGTGTGACGAACTGCATTACAAACAAGATATAAGAAAATAATTAGAGTAGAGCGAAACCACTTTGGTTATCGGCGTACGAGATATAGGGGAGCTTATCTACTCGTTACAATAAAGTACTGATTCTGAATACAATAATTGAATTCTCACTTCATTTCAACGGAATATGCTGTTTTAAGTACGAGCTGGAGTTTATCTTTCACGCTCGAAAGTGGGCTTGTGTACATCCTATTGCTTGACTAACAAAGTGCTGAAAAACCATCAAACACGAGAATATCCCGTCACTTTCTACTTCTATTCTAGCTCGTTAGGTCTTACGTGCTGAGAATGAACGCCCTCTTAGCTGACCTCTGTCACTCTACACATGATTGTGTAATGTGGGTGGCATGTGCCTTCGTTTGTTGTTGTGTTGATTGTGATGCGTCGGATTGTTCAATAAGAACGAGGTCGAGAGTTTGGCCTGGAACATTTAAGGGTGCCACACGACTTCACAGTTTCTGTTCCATTACTGAAATCTTGATTCACTGTGTTGAATAAAATGCATCGTTTTGTTTTTCTCTGCGGAGGGTCGTTAGGCGCTGAAATTTTCCGTCCTGATCGCTGTGGGACCGACTTTTGGTCATTCATCAACGCTACCATAGATTTACCGAGGAAAAGCTTTGCTGCTGAATAGAATGATTTTTTTGTAGACATTGTTGAGTAAACTGATGGCAAATCCCAATAGATGCAACTAAACAAGAGTAGATACTAAACACTCTTCCAACCTTTAGTGTGTTGCCTTATTCTGAATGTCTGCAACGTTTATCTCTCGGATAAGTGGGATGAAACAAGAGATGCGAAAACAACAAATCTCACAACGAAAAAGTTGGTATGAACTTCATTCATACTTGCAACAGAGGTGCCCCTTGGTTTAGCTTTTTCCACAATACCAAGATGGGTCCTAGCTCTTGACTCCATAGAACTTTGTCAAATTTACTAGTTTTTCCAACCGTTCTACCAAGTAGTCGAAGTTGTGCAATCACTCGATTGGCCGCGGAACGTTGAGCGCTACGGTCGATGTTGGTGGGCAAGTTGAAATTACTCGGCTGATCGTAATCCGGCAACGATTCAATCAGAGTTGTGTAATCCTGTGTTAGATATGAAAGGAGGATAGATAATTACATAAACGTTTATGTATGCTTGACAGCGATGGAAATGAACAACCGTTTTAATCATAAGACACAGGAGGGGGCTTTAAATAATGGGAGCTAATGACGGCTCAGCGGTTAAAGCATCATCATCATCATCAACGACAGCATGACATCAGTGCTCAACACCGATGCTTCACTGCCGTACAGCCATGACTTATTTGAAAGCCTTATTGTAAAGAAAAGAATAAAGGTGGATGGGGGAGGGACTTAGTGCTAGCTT